TATTTTATTTAAATCTGATATAATTAATTAAAAGTACTATATTTAATAAAATTTTACCTATATTCTAAGAGCGCATATTAAAAAATTTTATTTATTAAATATACAATTAAAATTATTAACATGATATTGACTTAGAAAATAATTAATTGTTGAAAATGAAATAAATACAGGTTTTGTTTTGTTTTGTTTTATTATATTATATTATATTATATTTTATGTTATCTAAATAAATTAAATTTTGTGTAAAAGTGACTGTCACGCCCAGAACCCAAATCTGGGGACGTGGTAGACGCCGTACATTCGTGAGACGGGTCCCACGAATGCACAAGGCTCGGACTTATCATATCACAATCTGATACTACCAAAATCTGACGATAAAATCTTTAAAATTCCTCTTATATCATAAAATCTCCAAATAAGGTCTAGTTTACAAGATCATGATTTATCTAAAGCTATGCTCAATTTACAAGTGGCTAGCCTTCTAACTCGTTACTTCCCATCGTTTCCACATCCTCGGTTTCGCTTCCTGAAATGGTTAACAAGGAAAAACTATGAGATAAACTCAGTAAGTAAAATATGGAGTGCCCTTATTAAATTTATAGCATGCCAACATGTGCAATCACGCAAAACGGATATAGTACGGGAACAAAATAGACGTCTCCTCTATAAGTCACGGCTAGTGTTATAAACCTCCCACTGGCAGGCACACGATTACTAGCGTATAATCCCCACTAGCAGGGCCACTGAACGAACCGGCTCTATCACTAACATGTCGACATGTGCTAGCGTTTATAACCTCCCCCACTAGCAAGGTCACTAATAACATGACCACATCGGAACAGAAAAATCATAATTCACTATCACTTTCAAATCATCAGGACAATTCACAATCACTTTCAAGTAGGCATGCTCAATTTAATGAAAAACATAAACATTTCACTTCAAATCAGTCATGCTCGTGTAAAATGGGTTTAGTCCCGCCACCACTTCATAAACAAATCAAAACATGCTTTTAAAAACAGTACGGGCATTACCATAAATTTACTTACCTCACTCGCATAAAACCGAGCACTCAATCTCAGTGCTAACTGACAGAACGATCGGGAACCTAATCAAAACACCTCAAAATTAATACCGGACTATCACAAATTCAAACTGAAATCATCATTAAGATCACTCCTAATCCCGATGCTATTCCTGTCAATCTCCACATTATCAGATATCTCCAAATTCGTTCTCATATCACAAACTAATAATTTAAATCCCCGTTAATTGTTGACCCTCGGTGTGTGAACAGTAACCCACGAACAGTGCCGTGACAGTACCCCGTGAACAGTACCCACGACGTGAACAGTACTCCAACATCCAAAATTGGCTAAAACACTAGCTAATCACCGGGTTTTCTCTCCAACAATCACAGCAATCAATTAACACTCAATCACATAATTCTCACTTGAATTAAGCTAAATCATGGTCTAATTACTATCAATTTCTCCCCTAATTAATCCAGAATTTCGGACACAAAGGGCAGCAATTAGATGGCTAATTTCAAGCTTAAATGGCTGTCAACATACCATAATTCTCCAGCTAAAACCGGAGCTGCAGGGGGGAAGAGGCCGGTGGCAAGCTGCAGGGAAAACTCACGGGTTTACCCAAAAATTGGAGGAACAAGAGCAATTAAAGTAAACCCAGGGCAATTCAAAGCTAGAGAAGGGAGAATTCGAGCTATTTCTTACCAAAAAAACCGAGCAATTCACCCCCACAAACAGGAACAGCCGGCGGACAGCAGAGGGAAGAGCAGAGCAGATCCAGAAGCTTCCTGCAGGGGGGGGAGAAATTCTGGGTTCTAGAAGAAGAAAGGAAGGGAAAAATACCAAGCTTCCTTACCAATTTTCCAAGGCATGGCTGGGTTCTCTTTCTTTTTTCTTCGGGTGGCTGCAGCGGGAAGAAATGAGAAGAAGAGCAGAATCGGGCTGAGCAGAAAGAGGAAAAAGGAGAAAAAGAAATAAGCCATCCTTATCCAATTATTTTCCCTCTTTAAGTCCCTCAACTTTTGAAATATTCACATTAGGCCCCAAAACAATCTTTTCTCACAATCAAGTCCCTAACTTACACTTAAATATTCCCGAAAATTTAGGATATTACAGTGACAAAAGTGGTGTTGGTGGCCCAATGGTGAAAACTTCAAAATGTGAGTAGGAGTGTGGTCCGAATCCCCTTGTGCACACAAATTTGGTAAAAGTTTTCAAAATTTGGTAAAAGTTTTCAAAATTTATGAACCATACAGTTCATCGGTTCAAAAGCCAACAAGTTTGATCAAGTTTGACTAACTTTGGCCGGATCTTATTACAAACCAAATTTATGTCATAATTCAAACCGATTCTATAACTGATTTCAGTTCAACCGATCGGACCGGTCCAAGTTTTAAAACAGTGATTTAAAGCATATTTTGATGGAACTTTAATTGGTTTCTTTACTTGAGATCATTGTTCAAAACATAAAATATAGTACTTAAATTTCTGTAAATTTTTATCCTAATACCATAGAAATGAGGTCAAATTCTTAAAATTGAGTATATTGAGGCTAGTTTGAGTGTATATGAAGACTAATTTTAAGATAAATTATTTTTAATGAGCGAAAATAAGTATTTTAGCCCATATTCCTTAAAATTTATTGAATTCACTCCTTTACTTTCTTCTAATTTAGATTGTCCCTCTTATTTTTGTTGTTGTAATGAACTTCAAGATTTATTAAAATTAGATAGACAAAGATAGATTACAATTAGTCAATAATACCAACTATTTCCTAGCATAATCTATGTTGGAAAATAGTATACTAATTTCCAATGCTAAGCGTTGGATAATAGAAGCTTGTATAAAATATCCAAAATTTATAAATAATTTTGAAGTGATATTCATTTTCAAATGCTTAGCATCATAATTTGGTTTTGGCACCTTCTTATTTTCTAGCTCCCAGTGCTGAAAAATAATGCTTTACATGTTGTTACTCAGAAAATTTTCAAAAACAAAAAAATATTTTTCACCTTTTTTTTCCAACACAAAACATTGAAAAATGTTTAAAACTATCAAAGTTAAATGGTAGAAATGATATGCAAGTTATTTTTTTGTGCTAAGTGTTGAAAAATAATCCTGCCCAAATTGCACAAGTTATTTTATAGCACTTAGTGTTAGAAAATACTCATGTCCAATTGATTTAGGTTATTTTCTAGTGTTTGGTATTAGAAAATACTCCTGTCCAATTGACTCAAGTTATTTTCAAGAACTTGGCATTAGAAAATAAGTTTATTAGAAGTTTAGGAACCAAGAATTCATGTATCTTTTCTTTTTAAATATTAAAAATCCCACCTATATTATTTTCTAGTGTCTAGCATTGGAAAATAATTTTATCTGAAGTTTGGAGTGCAACATTCAAGTGCTATTTTTTCCTTATAAAAATTTCAAAATCCCACCTACATTATTTTCTAACGCTAAGCCATGGAAAATGATATTTATCTATATAAACCTTCAACCTTCCCTTCCTCAACATTTTCTCCAATCTTCTTCTTTCTTCTCTTTCATTTTTCTCATCCCTTATCTAAATTCACTTTCTTTTTTCCCCTCTCTTCATTTACTTCACTCATATATTTCACTTTCTCATCTTAATCTACCCTTTCCTCGTCTCTCCGTTTCCTCTTCCGTTTCCTTTTCATTTTCCATTTTATCTTCATTTCTTCTGCTTTCTTTCTTGCTTTTCTCTTGTTCTCTCCATTCCTCTTTCTCTTCCTATTCCTCTTCCTCTTCCTTTAATATGTTACTTGAAATAAGAAGTACTATTCACTTCCTTTAACATGTTACTTGAAATAAGAAGTACTAATCAATTCAATTTACTAGTAGTTTAATTTTCAACTTTCTTCATATTTTTCTTTATCAATAAACTCTCATATGTATTACTAATTTAATTTTTTTATATATTTCAGGTCTTTTTATGAATCATATAGAATTGAGGTATATTTATGTATTTAATTTCCTTTTATTTGCAGTATTTATTACATTATATGTATTATATAAAGTTTTATATATGATTGTGTTTATAAAGTAAATATATTAAATATAAGGCTAAAGCCCCTATTTGCCCCCTAGACATTTTTTCTTTCTATGATCAACATTCTAAACTAATTTAATACCCTAAACTAATTTTTCTTTTGGTAAATACCCTCCATAATTCAGAACCCGTAAAATACTCAAAAGGGTAACTGCAGATCATATGTTGGCCATGTGCACGTTAATTTCCGTTAGTTGTTATATTACGTGGCACAAGAAAGTTAACTAGAACATTATGTGACCATTTTTTTTTTTTTTGATGTGGCAACCTTTTCTGATGATGTGGTTGCCACATGTGCATGGGCCTTACCATTGGTGGGACTTTTCCCGCCTTCCAGCACATCTTTAGCCAAAAACAATCATAATAATAATAAAATAAAAAAACATAATATTACCTCCATTAAAGATGTAGAAACAACTCAAACAAGCCTTTAATGGTTGCCATTAAGGACCTTTATCAAGCAATGGCCAAAAAATTTAAAATAGAAACCTTCACCAAGCTCAACCTCCCTTCATCCATTCCACAAATTCACCATATGTTTACACCACAATTAGCAATTTTTGAGATGATGTCATGTGTTCCTATAGAGATCGAGTAGCCATTAGTTTTTCATGATTTATTACAAATTATTTGGCTGTGATTTGGTATAGTGAAGTTCATTTTATGTTGCCAAGGGTTGGTATGGATTATTTTTATTGGGCTAGAGTCTTCAACATTTTTATTAATTAAGTCTTCGAAGTCCAACTGTATTTATTTTGAAAGTGGATTTGACATTGGAGAGTTTGTTGGGTTAAAAGGAATCATATGACCCAAAGGGGAGTACAATCCAAGTATTTTTGAACTTTATCTATTTAAATCTTGTGGGTTGATATTCTATTGGAAGTCAAATTTTTATCCTTTGAGAAGGCTAGAGATTTTATCTTTAATTTAAAAAGATATTGAATCGGTCAAATGGAGAAAGATGAGGTTGATTTTTAGGGATTTCATCTGGTGGAATGTTGGATTTTGGCTACATTTTTTCTTGTTTTTAGCTAACTAGCAAAGTGCATGAATAGAAGAAAATTGAGGTTGTTGTGATCATGTTAGACTGTGGATGGAGAGGTGGTTCAAACCTAATTTTTTATTAAGTGAAAGCAGTTATGGAGACCTATAAATTCTAGTTTCGAGGACATTATTGGGTTCCGCATATAGATGCCTGCCCTTCAATACAAATCATTTATCTTTCGAAACTCTTTGTCTTTCAAGCATCCTCTAGTTTAGCCTAGCCCAATGATCTCTTAGTTTTAGACTATTTTCTAGCATTTTTTCTTCAAGTTTTTTAGTCCAATAGAAGTAGATCAACATCCTTACACTATTGCAAGAATCTCATATTCAGACCGAATTATCAGTCCGGATATATTACAAATCGGTCTGAATTTATATATATGGACCGATATTGGTCCCTATAGTTGATCTGAAAAAACCTGGTACGAAAAAATATAATATACAGACTGACATAAAATCGGTCCGTATATATAAACTATACGGACTGAAATCGGTCCGGATATTTCAGTAAGAAATATAAATGGTTATTGAAAAATTGAAATAAGCGGACCGAAATTGGTCCCAAAAACATAATATAATAAAATAATAAAATATGTACGAACCGATAACGGTCTGTAAATGCAGCGGGAAGAGGCATCGCAAATATATCCTGACAGGGATCGGTCCGCATATGGAGGACCCAGCGGCAATTTTTAAAACTCGCAACTATATCCATACCATTTTCGGTCCGAATATCGTGGACTTGCTTGTAACTTTTCAAAGTTCCGTCTCCCAACCGGCGCCATTCTCAAACTATATCCAGACCGTTTTCGGTCCGAATATCGTGGACTTGCTTGTAACTTTTCAAAGTTCCGTCTCCCAACCGGTGCCATTCTCAAACTATATCCATACCGTTTTCGGTCCGAATATCGTGGACTTGCTTGTAACTTTTCAAAGTTCCGCCTCCCAATCGTTGCCATTCTCAAACTATATCCAGACCGTTTTCGGTCCGAATATTGTGGACTTGCTTGTAACTTTTCAAAGTTCCGTCTCCCAGTCGATACCATTCTCAAACTATATCCAGATTGTTTTCGGTCCGTAAATATCTTTGGAGAAAAAAAAAAATAGTAAAGAATAAAGAAAACAGATTTATTTTATATAATAATTACACAATATTACCAAATAATACAAAAATAAATTTTACAATTCAAAATAAATGCATTTATAAAAAAATAAAATAAT